AGGCTCTTGCTGGCACCACTGCAGTTCTCGTTCTGATATCCTCGACGAGGATTCCTCGTGTCAAGCACGCTGCGAGGTGCGCGATGGGTATGCGTTGTCGTAGCCTGCCGGCTGGCCAATCAAATTCTATTTGGCGTTCTATCCTTGTTCTTTTCACGCGGGTATTGAACAGCCGTCCTTTCCAGTGTGGTCGGACTTGGATTTGCAAGCACTGTATATGAAATGCATATATCGATGGTGGCGCCAGCGGCATATACCTGAACTAAGTGCCAAACTGAAAAGGTACGAAAGCTACGTAGTCACTTCCACCCGTTTTTTCGGATTTGAGCTCCTTGTGCCCTCTAGTGGCTAAATATGCTGACAACAAGGCGAAACGTTGTCACTTCCATATATACGTTCCCACTTCCAATTTTGGAAGTCACAACGAATGTTACGTACCTATTTCGGAAGTGACTTGGTACATTTCATCAATATATATATATATATATATATATATATATATATATATATATATATATATATATATATATATATATATATATATATATATATATATATATATATATATATATATATATATATATATATATATATATATTATATATATATATATATATATATATATATATATATATATATATATATAGATTTGTTTGACCGCACATACAGACCCAAATCGTCATACTTCGCCGCCTATACAGACCAAAATTGACGTTTTCAGACCCGGCTTCGGGACTGAAAAAGTTAATCATAGTATGGAAATCAGGGGGGTTGGTGGGTGCAGGGGGTAAATTTTTAGGTGGGCTTGAAAAGGCGGTGAAACATGATGAAATATACAGATTTAGTTCACGGTTCAGCCAGTTCGAGGGCGCCTCGGTCGGGCTCAGCTAGCTGTATATATTCGGCATAGTTAAACTACGTCTTCAAACCCTAAATTTGGCAACGCCGCGGCGTTGGCATATAAATAATGAATATGTATTTCACAGCTCTGATACAGTCCCGATATGCTCTTTACCATTTGGTCCAAAATCACACTTTCCCTCTTGAACGGATATAAGTAAGCTTCAGATAGTAAAAAAAAAGGAAAATCTACTTTATCAAATTTTGAGGGTTATACTTTTAAATATTCGTCAGTAAAATTGAAATCTTAATAAATAATGTTATTTAACACAATATATTATTTTTTTAGTATACATTTTTAGTAAATATTACTGTAAAAATATTAGTAGATCGTAATTTTTAATATGGTTGTATGGATGTGATTTACGTATAGTAATATTTATTGTATTATACAAAATATAAATATTAAGTTAATAAAAAGATTTGCGAAATATCTCAAGATTATAAAGAACCTTACACTGTCTGTGGACCATGTAGTTAATAATTTTAATGGTAAGTATTTTTAATGTCAATTTTCATTTCCGTTTATTTATTTAGTATGATTATTATCATTATTAGCATTATTATCGTTATTATCATTATTATTATTATTCTCATTAGCTTTCTTATTGTTGTATTATAATCAATACATATTGCCAAATTTGATTAATTGAATATTTACATGTGTTTTTAGAACCTACCTTCGATCTTATGTTATCTTATTTTATTATTAAATTTAACCAGCAGCGTATAAAGAAAATCACCCGGTATAATAATTAAAATTAAATAAAAAAATTATTTGTTTTAGATATTAGATACGGTTACTGTATAATTTTAATATCCTGTATCTCAGAACTACTAAATAAAAATACTGAAATACTCCAATTTGAATGCTGATTAGTGAAAATGAAATTTTTTTGATATTTTCCAAATTAAATTAACCAAAAAGTTTCCACCCCGGTTTTCTTCTCCACTTTAAATTAAAAATTTAAAGGCATTTTAAATATCTACATTTTGGCGTATTATTTTTTAAAATCGGTTAGTTTGTTCCTGAGATATTTAAGACAAAAATAAATTAAAAAAGAAAAATTTTCTGTAATATCTTGAAAACAAACAAACCGATTAAAAACTATTACGTCAAAATAAAGGGATTTAAAATGCCCTTAAAATTATACGATACCCCTATTAGTTTTAAAATGGGTTGGTACGTTATTTGAGAAAAACTTAATTTTTTAATTTATTAATTATACACCATTATACATATTGTATATTCACAAGAATCATTTTATAAAATCACGTACTTTTAAACCACACTTAATTAAAGTAATAATTTGTGCAAACCAACCGATTTTAAAAACTAATACGCCAAAATTTTAAGGGAAGAAGTAAAAATAATTTGATGAAGTACGCAAAATAAATAAAGTTAAATTTTTTAAAGGAAATTTTAAAGGAAATAGGAAATTCGTCTATAGGATTTTCTGCGTTTCTTTGGATGGGGATCAGGGGCGTAGCTTCCGCGGTATCAGCCGTATCAATGATACGGGGCCCCCGATTGGCTTCGACATGCGTAAGCAAAAAATATATTACCCACATGTTAAAAAAATTGAGGCATCAAATTAAATAAATAAATAATATTTTTATTAAATTGTTTATTCTTCGATTTATTAAATTAAAATTTTCCTGAATACCCCCCTGTTCCAACGAGGCCGTTAACTCATAAAAAATGTTTCTGCCCGCACCTTTCCGCTATGCGTTGTCTACGGCGCAGGATGTTATTATCATAGGTTAAATTAATAGCAAATTAGAAATAATTATTAGCGTTACAATTGTTTCAAATGACTTTCCTTTATTTTAAAATAAAAACCTTTTAAAAGATGTTGAAGAACAGTAAATGTCTAAAACCAGATCAAATTTTAAAATTTGCCTGTACATTAAAAGCTATGAATACATGGGTGAATATATTGAGATGTCCCCCAAGTGAAAATGATTATTTTTAATTTTTGGTTGTTTCACTGTTAGTCTAGAATGGGGTTTTTGGGAAGCCACCAGGTCTAGTAATAACATAACATAAGTGGTTCTGCACTAATGCAAGAATTTTAAGAAATCATACATTTTGAATATTAGAGCTTCTCGGAAGATATCTTCACGGAGGTTAGGATTTCGTATGTTTTTTTCACCTTTGTATATTTAAAATAAGTTATTGTATCTTTTGACACCTTAATATTTTTTTAAAATACAATTGTACATACTTAAAATATTTATAAAAAAATCTACTTACTGAGATATTACACTTCACGGTGGATAGGTTTTTAAATAGCAAATTAATGAACTTAAACTTTTGAATTATTAAACAGCAACACTCTCATCTGCATATAAATTCTAACTGACCTTCAGGAATCACATGCATAGATCTATAATGTTGTAAATAGAGGTTTTTGCTTATTTAAAATGATTAAAGCGCCATCCGTTGCATAAAATTTAAAACAAAAACAGATTCACGGAGGATAGAATCAATAAACATAAATGGTTATAAAAATTATTTCTTTTAATTTTTAATGATATTTTATATTCGATTCGATTGCTTTGGATGTGTTTAATTTACTTAGTGAACTGATATTTTTAGTATGCTTTTACTACCTCAGATATTTGAAAATATATAGGTTAACCTAGAAAGAGTAACAGTCACGGAGGATATGTTTTAGACTTTTAAAACATTGTAAAAAATAATTAATTGCGGTTAAAAATCTGGAACCTAAGCTGTAATATCTACTTAATTATGAAAGATCAAAACACAATAAAAGTGTAGGTCAAACTCATCGGGGGACATTTCATGAGATTTACCCACATATATTATTTATTGAATTATAAAAATTGGTAAATGCAAAAAAATGATACCCTAAAAATTTTTTTGCCAGCACCTTTTCCGGTATAAGGGCCCCTACCAGATTTTTGATACAAGGCCCCCTTGAGGCTAGCTACGCCACTTTGCTTTAAAAGAAATAATAGTAAATAAAAAAACTAACCTAACCAAACATGCCTCCTTACCTGTATTTTGATTTTTCCCTAGTATTGCCATTTGAGCAATTAATTTGCTTCCTGCCGATATTTTCACACCACACAAACAATTTCGCCAATTCTGCTATCTTCCCGATTTACAGGCATTGAAGAGAATCACGGATTAGTATATTCTTTTTACGTACTTTCGACCTACGCCACGAGTCCCTACCATTTGGCAACATCGCTGGGTCTCGGGACGTTGGTTGAATATGGTTATGCAGTATAAACGGGCGCGAGAAGTCGGTAAAATGATGCGGGTTTAAAAAGTGTTATTCAGTTTGCAACTTTTTTTATAAAAAGAAAATGTTTCCCCTTGAAGCATGCTTATTGAGTTATATTCTTTAAAAGCTTATTTACGGTTTATATACTCGCCTAAATTACCTGGATCAAGTGGGTCTTAGGTAGCCTGTATAGTGTACCGGGACTGAAAACGTGGACCGGATAGATATATATATATATATATATATATATATATATATATATATATATATATATATATATATATATATATATATATATATATATATATATATATATAATATACTCTATAGTCACCGGCAAAAGTTTGGAATTAAAAAATTCAACTTTTTCTAGAGATTCAAATAAATTATATAATTGTGATTCCAGCCGGTAAGTGTAACTTAATTTAAATCAATCAGAAGTTTGCTGAAGATCTCAAGAGAAGACAAAAATTGGACACAATCCGTTGGAAAAAGTTTGTTTCTATGGCAGGAAATTAGATATGCAGAAATTTTACATTATAATAATACTACTTTGTTTTTACATACATATGTAAAAATAGGGATAAAATTTGCAAAAAATCAAATAAACCCCTTATAAAACCAAGACAATCTCAAATATTTATGTTTATTTTCTAAGTATTCCGGTTGTTTGTTATACTTTAACAATACCACGTTTCAATTATAAGTTTGTTTAAATAAATTGTTGATTCAAGATTTTATTATAATAATTATTATAATATATATATGAATTCTTAAAAATTACATTAATTAGTGTTCTTGATAATTTTATCTTATTTTTAGACGCAATGTTAATCTATGTAAATGTACATATCTTATATATATCCTGCTCTTTATAAATTACAAAACATTGTTAATTTTTGGGTTGAAATAAAAATGGATATTCCTCTAATACTTTTACTTCTTGGTCTGGGTGAGTATTTTTTTTAAATAAAATTTATAATTTAGTATAAACGTAATCTTTCTTAGTTTTTAACTTGACCAAAGCTCTTCAACTGGGTACTTGTGCTAATTCTTCAAGGATATATAGTTAGTATATATATACTTTACGTTAACATGGTTAATACATCAAATTTTAGGCAAATTTTCCTGTGAAAATAAGCCATTGACATTATCCTGTCCCAAAGATACTGTAATAAAAATTTCAAGTGCTCAATATGGCAGAACTAAAACTAGTATATGTCCAGGAAATATGCCGAATCAGACTTGCAAGGCTCCAAGCAGCAAACGTCTTGTATCTGAGGCGTAATAAACGTATAAAAAACTTTAGTAATTTTAATATTTTTGTGATCTATTTTAGGTGCTCTGGAAAAAACGAATGTACTATAGCAGCTAGTAATACGGTTTTTGGTGATCCATGCCCTACTACCGAAAAATATTTGGAGGTAAACTACTGTTGTGAGAGTAAGTCTTCAAGAGTTTTAAATTTTTGTTGTTTACTAAAATCGATTTTTTTCATAGCTCCATATCCAGTTGGTTGTGATACTGCCCCACAAGGTAAACTATGTACCTATAACTATTATTTTACAATATAAATGTTCAATATTTTAAGTACCTGGGTGAATATATTCAGATGTCCCCCAAGTGAAAATGATTATTTTTTATTTTTGGTTGTTTCACTGTTAGTCTAGAATGTGGTTTTTGGGAAACCACCAGGTCTAGTAACATAACATAAGTGGTTCTGCACTAATGCAAGAATTTTAGAGCTTCACGGAAGATAGCTTCACGGAGGTTAGGATTTCGTATGTTGTTTTTAAAACATATGTTATTTTTAAAACAATGATTAAAGCGCCATCCGTTGCATAAAATTTAAAGCAAAAAACAGATTCACGGAGGATATAATCAATTTTTGTAACACCTATTAAATGGTTATAAAAATTATTTCTTATAATTTTTAATAATATTTTATATTTGATTCGATTGCTTTGGATGTGTTTAATTTACTTATCTACGCCAGTGAGATAAGAACTTCTTATCCCACTTATTTTGAGTGAGATAAAAAGTTCATTAACGCACGCGTTTTTCTCTGCTTTTAACCAATCAAATAAAAAAGTCAAAATGTCAAAATGTCATAATAACCCTAAATTAAGTCTTAGACAAAAATAATTACCGTTTATTTTTTCATTTAGAGGCGTAGATAAAAATTTGTACAATATACGTGTGATAACGCTTTATTAACGTACTTTTGCGATTGCCCAACTCGTGCTACGCACTCGTTAGGCAAATTTCGCATGCGTACGTTAATAAAGCTCTTATCCCACTTATATCGTAAATAACTATTAGTGAACTGATATTTTTAGTAAGCTTTTACTACCTCAGATATTTAAAAACATATAGGTTAACCTAAAAAGAGTAACAGTCACGGAGGATAGGTTTTAGACTTTTAAAACATTGTTCAAAATAATTAATTGCGGTTAAAAATCTGGAACCTAAGCTGTAATATCTACTTAATTATGAAAGATCAAAACACAATAAAAGTGTAGGTCAAACTCATTTAGTTTTATTAAATATCACGGGGTAACACCATCGGGGGACATTTCGTAAGATTCACCCACCTATAGAAAATAAAAAAAAATTCACAAATAGTTTTAAAGCTAACAAATTTAATTTTTTAAGAATATTTATTTTAATGTTTTAAAAATAAATAAATTCTCAAAAATGTTAGCAGATGCCTTGTATATTTTGAATCCACAACAACCCTTCTTAGATGTGTGATACACGGCACAGTGAGAATACAGCGTTGCCAAGTTTTTGATTAGACTTAAATATTTAATAACTCTTAAACTGCTTGTGGAAAAAATAATATGTTTAAAATAGTTTATACCATTTTTTGTTTGTTTTTCAGTTGAGACAGCATGTGGTTCAACATTTTTAAGCCTTAAATGTCAAGTGGGTAAATTAAACATATTAAGCGCAAATTATGGCAGAACTGATACAATTACTTGTCCATACGGTACAATACAAACTACAAATTGTCATGCTGATAACTCCACTAGCATAGTATCAAAATGGTATGAAGACAAATTTATTTCATATACTATACTGCCCTACTAAGTAAAAGAGCCGTATCTGCAATATATACTAAGTAATAAAGGACAAAAGTCAGTTTTTATTGTTTTTAACAATAATAGTTTATTAAAGAACCAATGTCATAAGACATATGGACGAGTGCAACAAAAGGTCTTATGACATGTCTCTTTATGCTATTTTATCTATTTTGCAAAAATTCTATAAAAATTTATACCTTAAATTTAATTTGGTCGAATTTTACTTTATATAGTTGGTATCACAGTCATTGGTTTGACAGTTAATGTCAAAATCGATTCGACATGCCGTCCTTAATTTACTTATTTACAATAAGCGGCTGTTAATGTTAAAGAAGAAAAAAAAGATTTTCTTAGGTGCTAAACAAAATTTATTGCCAGAAAAGTCTCGTAAGTACTAGAAAAATCATAAAAATATTATAACCAATATGCAATATATTATTCTGTTTAAAGTATAGCCAAAATATAAAATCAAAATTTTGGGTGGGATAAAGTATCTCATTACAGCACCGAAAGCGGTGTTATAATGAAGTCATTATGAACGCAAAATAGATAAAAATGATGTTTTATCCTTTATTACTTAATATTGTAGATACGGATATTTTGCTTAGCAGGGCAGTATACTATAGACATATTACAAAAGTGGACACTTAATGCCTATGTTGTATATTTTAAGTAAAACATGCCATGTGTGAACCGAACTGTCATTGTTAACTTACAAGTTTGTTTTTGCTTGAAAAATAATTAACAACGTAAGTTTCAATATTGAAATACAATGGTGGTTTGTTCTACAAATGCGATCTTTCATTCAGAATGATCTCATTTATGATTAACTTATGCATACAACTTTTTACAGCTTGGTTCACACTTTTCAGCATATACAACGATCTTATTACGCGTCCACTTTCTTCCATTGTCTAAGGTACTTACAAAATAATCTTTTTAGGTGCAATGGTAAGAGTGAATGCTATACTTTAGCGCATCCCTATATTTTCGGCGATCCATGTAATGGGACTTTTAAATATTTATTTGCCAAGTTTTGTTGCAAATTGGATGAATAATTGTAAAATAGATAAATGAATGTTTACAATAATGCTTTTATTATATCAATATTATATGCCATTATTAAAAAGTAGTTTTTTATTTCAATATTCCAAACGTCTTTTGTACACAATAGCACACATTTTACCATATTTGGGTAAGAAAACCTACATTTTTAAGAAAAAAGTTTATAAAATTTACCCAAATTTTACAATAAAAATTAAAAGGAAGTGGATACAAATTACTTCTTTTTTAAATAAAAAGTTAATCAAAAATGTTTGTTTAATAAGTAGATTTTTTTCAATAAAAAATTCGATGAAGGTTTATTTTTTTTTATATATTATTTATACATAAAAAAATTGAATAGTTTTTGAGTTACTTATTCATTTTTTTCGTTAAAATTTGAGAAATGCTCGTCAATTAAAAATAGCTTATAACTTTTTTGTTATTAGGTTTCCGGATATGGGGGTGGAATTTTTTGAATCTTAAAACATTGTTTAAGAGTAATATTTGGTTAAAAAAAACCTAAAACTTTACTTAATAAAAAATTTAACCAAATTTGACAAAAAAAATTAAAAGAAAGTAAAAATTTCTTTTTTAAACGAAAAGTTAAATAGGATTTTTCTTTAATAAGTAATTTTTTTAATTCAAAATTCAATTTAATTTTTTTTATAAATTATTTATACATATACAGGGTGTTTCTGGGGAACGGGAAAAGATATCGATTTGAAATTTTAAATGCGTTTATAATTCCCTTTTTATATTTTTCTATATTTTTTTATAATATATATATTTAACCGGAAGTGGCATCAACTTTGTTATTTTAAATAGAAAACCCCATATACTATTACTTTTTTTAAATTCTACATAAAATTCTGAGTAAAATAACCATACCATGTCCAATACCTAGTTTTCGATTTATTAATTTTTTTGTTAAAATTTGACAAATACGCGTAATTTAGGTTTGCAGATATGGGGGTGGAATATTGGTGGAAACATTGTTTAAGAGATTCCATGTTAATTATTTAATATTTCTCAACAAATTACTTGAGAAAAACCATGGCTAGTTAGGCTCGAACTTGAAACTTTAATATTTTTTTTATTTTAAAAATAGCACCCTGTATGTTTTTACATATTCAAATATAAAATTAAAAAACGTTTCGATTGTTGTAACTATTCCCTATACCTAAATAAAGATGAAGCACAAGTTCATTGGAGATAATAAAAAATAAAATGCAAACCTTGTATTTATGAAATATTTTAATAACAAAAAGAATGTGTAACTGTAAAAATTGAATAAACCAACAATAACAATTTTTATTACTAATTACCTATCTAATTTTTAACAAATGTTCAAAGTGTCCATTTCCATTTAATTAAAAATGCTCTAAGTGCTCCCGTTTCGGCGCTACAGCTGTTTTAAGTTTAAAAACAGTAAAGTGCCGATAGGGCCCAAACCGTGGGATATAGGGCCGATCTGGGGCCGAAATCGAACTCTACGGAAAATTTTACATGGGTATGAGTCTTTTTGTTAACTTAATCCGGGTAATAACAAAAATTGTTTTTTTTTTACCAAAATCTTCGTCTGTCAAAACGTCCAAAAAGGCATATTGTCAATTTTTCAGGATTTTTTGAGGGGGCTGTTGGGTGTCTGGATATACTAAATCAAGGTCGTAGATTCCAAAACTGCTACCAGTTTTATCAAAAACCGTTCCATAAAGGCACTACGGCCATTTTTTGATTTTTCAAAGTAGTTTTTTTAAGATTGCGGGCAAGCCGGTAATTTATCGAGTCAGCGGTATCGATTTTCAAATTCCGGGGAATATTTGACGTAGGGTACTTTATTAAAATCAGAGACCATGACCAATTTTTGAAAATTGAACGATTTGGTAAAGTTTTTTTGCCATATTTTTGTAAAAAATAAAATGGTTTAAAACCCCGTTCACTAGATCAATTGGCATGCGAGGATTACGAAACTGAGCCCAAAAATGCTCTAAGTGCTCCCGTTTCGGCGCTACAGCTGTTTTAAGTTTAAAAACAGTAAAGTGCCGATAGGGCCAAAACCGTGGGATATAGGGCCGATCTGGGGCCGAAATCGAACTCTACGGAAAATTTTACATGGGTATGAGTCTTTTTGTTAACTTAATAGGGGTAATAACAAAAATTGTTTTTTTTTACCAAAATCTTCGCCTGTCAAAACGTCCAAAAAGGCATATTGTCAATTTTTCAGGATTTTTTGAGGGGGCTGTTGGGTGTCTGGATATACTAAATCAAGGTCGTAGATTCCAAAACTGCTACCAGTTTTATCAAAAACCGTTCCATAAAGGCGCTACGGCCATTTTTTGATTTTTCAAAGTAGTTTTTTTAAGATTGCGGGCAAGCCGGTAATTTATCGAGTCAGCGGTATCGATTTTCAAATTCCGGGGAATATTTGACATAGGGTACGACATACTTTATTAAAATCATAGACCATGACCAATTTTTGAAAATTGATCGATTTGGTCAAATTTTTTTGCCATATTTTTGTAAAAAATAAAATGGTTTAAAAACCCTTTCACTAGTTGAATTGGCATGCGCGGGTTACGAAACTGAGCCCAAAAATGCTCTAAGTGCTCCCGTTTCGGCGCTACAGCTGTTTTAAGTTTAAAAACAGTAAAGTGCCGATAGGGCCCAAACCGTGGGATATAGGGCCGATCTGGGGCCGAAATCGAACTCTACGGAAAATTTTACATGGGTATGAGTCTTTTTGTTAACTTAATCCGGGTAATAACAAAAATTGTTTTTTTTTACCAAAATCTTCGTCTGTCAAAACGTCCAAAAAGGCATATTGTCAATTTTTCAGGATTTTTTGAGGGGGCTGTTGGGTGTCTGGATATACTAAATCAAGGTCGTAGATTCCAAAACTGCTACCAGTTTTATCAAAAACCGTTCCATAAAGGCGCTACGGCCATTTTTTTGATTTTTCAAAGTAGTTTTTTTAAGATTGCGGGCAAGCCGGTAATTTATCGAGTCAGCGGTATCGATTTTCAAATTCCGGGGAATATTTGACATAGGGTACGACATACTTTATTAAAATCAGAGACCATGACCAATTTTTGAAAATTGATCGATTTGGTCAAGTTTTTTTGCCATATTTTTTGTAAAAAATAAAATGGTTTAAAAACCCGTTCACTAGATCAATTGGCAAGCGCGGATTACGAAACTGAGCCCAAAAATGCTCTAAATGCTCCCGTTTCGGCGCTACAGCTGTTTTAAGTTTAAAAACAGTAAAGTGCCGATAGGGCTCAAACCGTGGGATATAGGGCCGATCTGGGGCCGAAATCGAACTCTACGGAAAATTTTTACATGGGTATGAGTCTTTTTGTTAACTTAATCCGGGTAATAACAAAAATTGTTTTTTTTTTACCAAAATTTTCGTCTGTCAAAACGTCCAAAAAGGCATATTGTCAATTTTTCAGGATTTTTTGAGGGGGCTGTTGGGTGTCTGGATATACTAAATCAAGGTCGTAGATTCCAAAACTGCTACCAGTTTTATCAAAAACCGTTCCATAAAGGCGCTACGGCCATTTTTTGATTTTTCAAAGTAGTTTTTTTAAGATTGCGGGCAAGCCGGTAATTTATCGAGTCAGCGGTATCGATTTTCAAATTCCGGGGAATATTTGACATAGGGTACGACATACTTTATTAAAATCAGAGACCATGACCAATTTTTGAAAATTGATCGATTTGGTCAAGTTTTTTTGCCATATTTTTGTAAAAAATAAAATGGTTTTAAAAACCCTTTCATTAGTTCAATTGGCATGCGCGGATTACGAAACTGAGCCCAAAAATGCTCTAAGTGCTCCCGTTTCGGCGCTACAGCTGTTTTAAGTTTAAAAACAGTAAAGTGCCGATAGGGCCCAAACCGTGGGATATAGGGCCGATCTGGGGCCCGAAATCGAACTCTACGGAAAATTTTACATGGGTATGAGTCTTTTTGTTAACTTAATCCGGGGTAATAACAAAAATTGATTTTTTTTACCAAAATCTTCGTCTGTCGAAACGTCCAAAAAGGCATACTGTCAATTTTTTTGGATTTTTTGAGGGGGCTGTTGGGTGTCTGGATATACTAAATCAAGGTCGTAGATTCCAAAACTGCTACCAGTTTTATCAAAAACCGTTCCATAAAGGCGCTACGGCCATTTTTTGATTTTTCAAAGTAGATTTTTTAAGATTGCGGGCAAGCCGGTAATTTATCGAGTCAGCGGTATCGATTTTCAAATTCCGGGGAATATTTGACATAGGGTACGACATACTTTATTAAAATCAGAGGACCATGACCAATTTTTGAAAATTGATCGATTTGGTCAAGTTTTTTTGCCATATTTTTGTAAAAAATAAAATGGTTTAAAACCCGTTCACTAGATCAATTGGCATGCGCGGATTACGAAACTGAGCCCAAAAATGCTCTAAATGCTCCCGTTTCGGCGCTACAGCTGTTTTAAGTTTAAAAACAGTAAAGTGCCGATAGGGCTCAAACCGTGGGATATAGGGCCGATCTGGGGCCGAAATCGAACTCTACGGAAAATTTTACATGGGTATGAGTCTTTTTGTTAACTTAATCCGGGTAATAACAAAAATTGTTTTTTTTTACCAAAATTTTCGTCTGTCAAAACGTCCAAAAAGGCATATTGTCAATTTTTCAGGATTTTTTGAGGGGGCTGTTGGGTGTCTGGATATACTAAATCAAGGTCGTAGATTCCAAAACTGCCTACCAGTTTTATCAAAAACCGTTCCATAAAGGCGCTACGGCCATTTTTTGATTTTTCAAAGTAGTTTTTTTAAGATTGCGGGCAAGCCGGTAATTTATCGAGTCAGCTGTATCGATTTTCAAATTCCGGGGAATATTTGACATAGGGTACGACATACTTTATTAAAATCAGAGACCATGACCAATTTTTGAAAATTGATCGATTTGGTCAAGTTTTTTTGCCATATTTTTGTAAAAAATAAAATGGTTTTAAAAACCCTTTCATTAGTTCAATTGGCATGCGCGGATTACGAAACTGAGCCCAAAAATGCTCTAAGTGCTCCCGTTTCGGCGCTACAGCTGTTTTAAGTTTAAAAACAGTAAAGTGCCGATAGGGCCCAAACCGTGG